CCTCAGAAAGCCCGTGAGAAATCCTGTCTCTTCTGCAATTGGCCCCCTGCCTTGAAACTCATGGCTGCAATTCCAGCCAATCCCCATATTTTCTTACTCTACTCTTCCTACAGTCCTTCCATTTCCAACTGGTTTTTTTTTTTTAATTGGTCCTCTTCCTTCTTAACTCTCCTGTCGTTCTGCAGGGTGCAGCACTTCTCATGCTTCCACACTGGCCCAGATTGTCCCATCCTGCTCTACTTTTTGGAGGGCGTGAAGAAATACCTTCTAAAAAGGGTATTTCATTACAGATGTCAGTAGCAAAACCTGTATTTTTTTTTTGCTTGAGAAACATAATCCACCAAGTTGGAAAAAAGTTGTCCAAATAAGCTTCCAAATACAAATTTTTACTCTAGATTGCAGAGACAAAAACCAGCCTCTTGTCTCTCTTGTGGCAGTGACACCTGCAGACCTCGGGCAAGCACAAGCCAGACCATCCCTCACTGACAAACACAAGATGGCAAAAACACAGCTTGGCTCCTTTCCCTCTCCTATCTCATGATAGTCTGTCAAAAATTCTGACGTTTTAATAGCAGTTCATGAAGAGTTGTTTTTATTTGCCTGCCTGCTCTTTGTACCTTTCAGATTGACGTTGCAAGCTGAAGGACTGGAAGCATATTGAAAAACAAAGACATTCAGGATCAGTAGTTTTATGAAAAGACCAAAAATCACGGGGCTTGTGAAAAAATGGCAAGAACTAGCAGTGCTGTGCCCAGCAGAGAGGTGGGAGTGGAAAGAGAAGACAACAGAATGAATATAAGTTTCAAGGAAACTTGTAATTTCCTTTTCCTATCACATGCTCCCTCTCATCCATTATACATACCCACCTCCCACAGGGAATGGCCACAATCACAGTTTCTGTCCAAAGGACATACAGTATCTCGGTGTACAAAGCCAGTGACTAGCAGAGCGAAGTGCAGACGACTCCCTGCAGGAGCTGTGTGACCCGTTGCAGGGGCAGCCGGTGCCATTCCTGAGCACGGGGATGCAGCCCTAGGGTTCTCGGGGCTGCCTCCAGTGCAACCAGGCAAACGCCCGTTTCCTTCTGACCTATTGCTATATTAAATTTCCCTTAGAAAATGATGGAGCAGGAGTAGACACTAATATTAATTACTAAAACTGCAGGAGGTTAATTAGTTTTACTGAATAATTACTCAAATCATTGCAAATGAACTAAACCCCAAATCCAAAGCTGTGTGCTCCTGCCTGGAGATTCTCCGTATCTTGTGACACCGAAACTGATCTCATTTGAGGCACAGACCTAACTGCAGATTTAATTATTTCTCCAGTGGTATATGGCACAGGCCCAGCCCCTGGAATGAGGTCTGACTCCCTTCAGTCTGCAGGTTACAGACAGCAGTCAACTGCACTGTAAATCCAACTGAGAGGGAAGAGAGCCGTGGTAAGCTAAGTGACAACATTGGCACAAAAAAAGAAAAAAGAGGGGGAAAAACTGACCAGAAATATATTTAGGCTATAAATTAGAATACCTTAGTGATTCATGCTATTGCAATGTATTAAAGGATTACTGCCCCCAGCTGCCAAATCACATGTTAAAGTCAACTGCTCTCCATTTCACTTTAAATTAAAATGCTGGGCAGGCACAGTGACATCCAAGAAGTTCACTTATGTGACCTGGGAGAGGTCGATAGCTGGGCGCCGGTAAACAGTCTCCATTTGAATTTCCAGAGCTTATCTGGAGACATCCTTACAAGGTTGCTAAATCACCACAGTCATGAGGTTCTGGCAAAAAAAGAAAAAGAAGCTTAAGACAAAACTCAAGACATTTAGTAAAAGAACTATAACAACTTAGTGCTTGTGATATTGCCCTGGTGAGTCCTTTGGTCCTAATCAGATAGATTTGGGAAATCCTCAAAGGCAAATGATTCAGGTGTATGGTGTGTTTCTTCTATACAACATACTGCTTCTGTACCAAACAGCACAGTAATACCCCATGGTAGAAAGTTGTCTACAAGCAGTCATTTAAGAAAATCTTATCCAACTAATTTTAACCCAACTTAATGTGGATTAATAAAATATCATCAACTTGCAATGCAGATGATCTTTTTAGAATTCTATTCAACTTAATTTCAGTTCAACTAAAATATTTTCTAGACAAATACCCATTTTAGGGAACAGTGTCAAGGATATGAATATAATTATTTAATTAATCTTTCTTAGAAGGTCATTTCCACAAAGCAGAGGGTTTTTTTGCTTGGTCCTTATGATATCACTGTAGACAGATTTCATACACACAAACCTGCCATGCTCATCAATTCACTTCCTTCTTCTTTCAATGTCCTCCTTTATAGAAACTTCTAGTTGTCTCCAACTATACCCAGGGGATGCCTATGTAAGAAAAAACTACAGAATTGGCAATATAATCTTATCCGAGTCTGTCCTGGAGATTAACTTCATAATTGACAAAAGTTAGCAGGAAGATCAAATACCATTAACCTGCAGCTATTTAAAGTCATCTATGGCTTTATATAGAACTACTTTACTTTATACTATTTACACAGTTATCTTTACTACTTATGAAAATTTACAATATAGGTAAACTTTAGGTGATAAAGCTTGAAAGAAACTTGCATGGACAAAACAACCTGTAAGTTATCAGCATCTTTGCCAACAGGCATTGACATAAAGGTTTGGCCCAATGTATGAGTGGCCTGGGGAGTTACAGATACGTCTTCCATTCTCGATCATACCATGTGCTAAAGGGATTTAGCAGAAAGCACCTGATCTACTACACAGACATTTTCCTCATCCTTCACAGTGTTATGGAAGAGCCCTCTTAGGGCTGAAACTGAAGTCTTTATACAAACATAGTTTGTATGCCAAATGTATGCCTACAGAACATTCATCTTGGAGAAAAATAAAAGCAGCCAGCAAATAACATCTTTTAGGTCCTATTTTTTTTTTTATTGAAGAGTATTAAGAAGAAATGTGGGGGGAGGGGGTTCTGGAAAACAAAGCAATTATGAATTTAACGTTCCTTTGGGTCAAAATAGGGGAAGCACAGAACCATAGCTAAAGGAAATACACAATAATAGAGTTTATTCATCTGCAACAACTTTACCTTAAAGATGCTTTTACACAAGAAGTGTCCCTTAGCAGCAAAGCCTCTAACATGCCTCATTCCTACCTCTGAACTGGAATTTGTTGCCCTCTCAATTGTGCTGACACAGCTGTTCACAGAACATGCTATAAAACAGATCACTGGGATAATCTCAGTTAAAATGAAAACACCACCACTTCTCTCCAGAGAGATATTTGTAACTTGCAACCCCAGAAGCAGTTGTATCAGCACACTGCAGAGAGCAGGCACTGCAATGTGAAGAGAGCAGCAAGCAGTTTGAGAATGAGGAGAGAAGAAGAGATAAGCAGGAACTTTTCAAACAGGCTTCATTGCCAAAAAACACCTCATGCAACCAGACACCAAACTTCTCCTGGCTCACATTTAGTGGAATTCTTCAGATGACTGTGAAACACCCAAAAGCCACATTCAGCACTTTCTGTGTATTGCTTTAAGCAAACAGAAGGTGGAGAGAGTCTGCACACAAGGAAAATATCGCACAGAGTGAAATCAGTGGCCATTTTCTAATGTGTATTTTTTTAAGTCCAATGTATTTTTTTATAAAAGTAACAAATTCTAAAAATATTATCTTTAGACATACAAAAGCTCTTTTCTCAAGTCCAAGGAATGGCATTGCAATTCAAATTTCCCACAGTGATGTTTATGTCATTCTGGTTTCTTTACAGATCAGAAATACGTTTCACTCATCTTCTATAGGTAGGTGGCTGATCTGGAAAACATAAAAGGCTCTTACAAGATATTATCTGTCTTGCCCCTGAGTACATCGACAGGCTCTGTAGCTTCTCCTGACCTTCCTAGGGGTTTGGTGGCAGGTACCCAACACCAGCTCTGACGTGGTGCAGCTGTAACCTGGATCAGGCTGCTAAGAAGATTTGCGAGACAGAACCGGGAGATGCCTCGGCAGGGACTCAGCAGCAGCGCTTACACTTAGTCCCTGAGCCCGGTTACGTCTGAGCTGTGCTACGGGTACACCTGTGCCCAGCCTCGCACCTCGCTGCTCCTGCCCCGCTGCTGGGCTCGGCCTTGGCCTGGCCACATGAGTACGGAGCCAGCGGGGAGTCAGGGCTCTGGGCTGGCCACCCGCTCGGCACAGGCACAGCAGGACTGCACCCTGCAGGGAGGCACTACGACCCGCTGCTCCTGGCTCGGTTTCCCTCACCCAGCAGCCCATCTGTCTCTGTTACTCCCTGACAGCATCATGTGCTGGGCTGCCCAACAGACACTGATCAAAGGTGACTTCCCATCAGACAGATTTTATAAAAATTCAGTGTTTTGCAGATTGTTAGGCAGAATCCATAAGGCAGCTAATAGGCTAGCACGCTGCAGAAGATGAAGTACAACATTTCAGTGAGTACAGCAGTTTCCAGAGACACCTTCCCATATATGTTTTAAAGAATAGGACATGGGCTACCAACCTTGCAAGAGTACACTGTGAGTGAAAGAAATAGCTGTTGTGTTCACAGCACATTTGGTTAAGGATCCTCTCTACTGTAGGTGATGCTGTCAAGATACCTATGGCTATCCCCCTTTGCTTTGCACCATCTATTTTCATTTTCTATTTTCCAGAAAGGCATCTGCCACAGGTGGGTTAAAATGATCTTGGTTCAATATCTCCTCCAACAGACACTGCCCTCCTACATCACAACAAAGCTTAGAACTTTGTCCAGGGTAGCATTCGCTGTATTCCCAGCTGTGATGAAAGACCCATTGCTTTCTGGCACCAAGGAGACAGAGCAATCAACCCACATCTTCTCTGACTTGGGTTGACCACTACTTCTTCAGAAGCCAAGTGATTTCTGTCAGGCTCGCATGCTAACAAGGTAAGGGCAGCTCCTCTGCTGTGGCTGTGCTTTGTGTTGGCTCAGGATGGTAATGGAGCAGGCGACACCAGGTGAAGATGCTTCCTTCTGACAATAGATTTGAGAGATGCTGAGATCTCTCTGTATCGAAGCCCATACAGAAGAGGGAACAAAACTTTAGGCAGAATCATCAGGATGCTGCAGACTGTCAGAGAGACCCAGATTCCTGTTTGCAGTCTGATGACAACGTTAATGCACAAGAATGATTCTACAAAAAGTGCCAAGAGTGGAAAGAAGTAAAAAAATAACACAGTGTTGTGCATTAAGAATGTTACACTGGCTCTGGAACAGCTACTCGCCCATATACCCGATTGTTTGGTTTTAAAATACAGAATAGCATAGCAGCAAAATATTAGAGACAGACAGAGAAAGATAACCGTGGTAGAAAGCCAGAAACAGAGTTTCACAGCATCAGTCCCATTCAGAGTTAATAGTAGTATTACTGGAATCGAGCACATTTCCAGGACACAGGGCACAAAGCTGTGAGTGCTCGATAGCACCAAGAAGAAAATCCCAGGGAAAGCCCCAGAACACATCCATAGTAATACAATAATTTTTTTAGTTCGTGAAGGAGGCAAAATAGCAACGTAGCGCAAAGGAAACAAAATAGCTATGTATGTGTCCAAGACTATTGCAGCAGCTGTGAACAATCCTCCACAGTAAGCCACTGCCAGCAAAAATAATAGGACGACACAAGCTTCCTCTGGGAGATGTACATGTGCTGCATTGAGAGCAGCTGACAGGGCGTAGAACAAAAGGAAGATCAGATCAGAGAGCAGAGCATTTCCCAGCAGCATGTACCTTGTTTCCTGACGGATGCTAAACCTGGAGAAGATCACAAACAAGATTGTAGGAATGATGAGGACACCTGCCACGAGGCAGACAACTGGAGGGATTAAAAACATCTTCATGTTTGTGCCTGATGGGCTGAGAGCCCATTCCTCCAGCAAATAGTACAATGAAGCTTCATCCAAATTTGAGGAACTGTTGAATTCCATCTCCCTGGGGTGATATGCAGTTGTATTTGCTCTCCTTGCTACAGCACAGCCAGAGAAGTCCATTTCCTTCAGCTTTTGGGATGATTGAATTGGAGAAAGCAAGATCTTCTACACCAAGTCCTTAAAAAGGCAAATGAAGCAGAGGATGCAAAAAGCCCATGGAAGCACAGTGATTTCTGTAGCCAGTTCTACCAGCTCTTCTCAAGGACAGAAAGTTGAAATTTGTAAGTGAATTCTCTGGTGCCAAAAGATGTTTTTGCCTCAAGTGGAGATTTTCTTTCTGCAAAATCTAATGTTTAGAAGAAAGAACGAATCTTTGTGTGCTTTTAAAAAGGTCTAAATCCCTCAGCTAGCTCTTTAATCAGAAAGGAACAGGTTGATCATTTTCAGTAATTTGAGTTTGTTCTCATCACATTATCACTCTGAGGCAGATGAAATTTGATTAAATAAATATACGATGATACAGAACAACATTACATGTATACTGATGTAGGAGAGCCATAAATGTGACTGGGTGATGTTTTGTACCAATTTGTATGCAACAACACAATCGATTTGACGTGATCAATGAAAATGGCTCTCAATCCTGTTGTAAAATTGTATTGCAATGGCTCTAGTGAATGAAATTATCTTGTTTATAGATAACGTTTTTTCTTCGGTGAATCAAATCATGTTATTTATAGATGATAAGCCTTCCCCTGCCTTTTTTAATGCATGATACACAAATACTGAATTCTCATCTATTGCAGACTTACAGTCAATCTGTGAATTATCTGGGATGAGTGACATACACTATAACGTACCAGATACCCTACAGCAGACTCGGCAGTTCCAACCTCCATTTGGAGATCAATTCTCGGCTTGCTGGCCAGCACACTGCTGCTGCACTGCTTTTACTACCAGATCTTAGTATCAGAGCTGGGAGTGCAATGAGAGAATTGTGAAGGGGCTGGACTGCAGAGAAGGAACTCTTCAAGTTCTTCCAGGCATGGGTCTGATCAGAAGAAAAGCTTTTTTTTTTTTTAATAGGCCCAACGCTGGCTAATAAAGCTTTAGATTTAATCAAAAAGACTGTATCGATGCAGTTATTCGTCATCTTGTGTGATGCAAAGTGAACATAGCAGCACTATTTTATTTCATGGTCTATGCCTCCTGCAGTTGCTTACCCCTGTGCACACCGCACAAAGCGGTGCACCGCTGCTACGACATCACATTACTCTGTTTACACAGTGTATAAGTAGCAAAGACAAGAGATCTGGAGGATATGCAGCTTTATCAACTCCCAACTCTAGATGCTCTTTCCCACCGGTGGTGCAGGTATCCTGGAGCTTTTTAAGTAATGGTAAACATCAAAGGATTACTCCCAGTATTTGAAAAATAGTGTGAGCACAAGCCAAAGGTTTAAAAATAGTCAAAATAAGTAGTCACTGCAATCTGCTGGCTGCTCAGCTGTTTTGAAGTTGAGGGGGTTTTTTAGTGCCAAAAATAAAAATGTTTAAGTCCAGACAACCTTTTTGGCAGTCTGGACAAGTCTACCAGGACCTCCGACATTCACCAGCATGGTCAAACTTAACCATTGTTTCAAGCATGATCTTCCTTCTCCTCTCAAGTAATATGGATTCTACTGCTGATGCTACAAGAGCAGAGGGAACACAGCTTCTTACTTAAGACAACAATATTGTATTCATTATTTCCCCATCGCTACCAACATATAGCAACGCAGCGTGCTTCCATCCATGGGAGACTGTGCATAGTCTCACCTCGCAGAAAGTCGTGCTGTGCCATGGACATGCTGTCTCAGGGCATGCCAAGTAATAAAGCAGAGACCTTATGAAACTCGGCATCAGTCATCAAATTTTGTGCACATTTCATTTCCTTACACACTGATAGTTGGCATCCACGGAACTGTATGTTAAGACAGTTTGACAGGCTGCACCATATGGAACAAAGGGATAGGAGGAAAAAAACAATGATAATTTTAAGCACAGCATTTCAGTTGCTATGGTGCCTGGGTAGGCAAAACAGAAGGTGATTATTTTTGCTCACTCAATCCTGGATCCACTGAAAAGTGCGTGAACAATTTTGATGCAATTATACATTTGGCTTCAGGATCATTCCCTGAATCTATCAATGAGTCACAACACAGTTAATACCTTAAGCAGACAGTAGCACTCAAACACCCAAACTGTTGAATTACACTATTATTGCAAAATGGAAGGGAAGCAATGAAAACTCAAGTGTGTGAGAATCACCTCCAACTATAATTTCAGACCTCTGTTAATGGTGGAAGTGTTTCCTGCCTCCCAGCTCACGTCATTCCAAGGATGTCCTATTAACGGGTAGATTCTCTCATTTCCATATAAAATCACAACTGTATTTTCCACCAGCTAGTTAGGTTTAAATATGAACAAACGAGTTCATTGTCATCTCAGCTGCACACTTTTGGCTGACAGAAAAATAAATGCAATATACAATGATCTGCTGGAATTTACAGGAGTGTCTAATGCAGCCAAGTATTTCACAGAGTGATGTTATATGGCACTGTAGTTCTGCAAATATATATCTCAAGGGCTTATTTTTTACATACAGTCATTCAATTAACAAATAGTTCTTACTTTTTCAGCCTAATTATTTTTCTTCTGGTGCCTGAAAACCAACATCCTTCTAGCACAGCTATTCCTTCCTGTTGGATAAAAGAGTAGTTATGAGCAAGAAGTGCCAGCTCCATCTGGGACGGTAACAAACACTGACATCCTCACTACTGAAAAGTACAAAGCCAAAGTGGTAATTCTAGCAACCTTCTATTGAACCACCTTTTGAAAATCCACTTCTACAGCCATGGAAGTGTAAATGTGAAGAATGTAAAGTAAATAACGTGAAAGGTAAGCAAAGGTATGAACTTGCTAATTATTCTGCAGTAGCTGACTGCAGGTTCACTCTCAGCTGAGATCCTCATAACCAATGCAGAGTAGCTCACGACTCTTCCATCTAGTCCACACGATAAGAGTACCACAGAGCCCATGAGATATCACAAGTTCACAGCCTCGTTTATCCTGTGCTCAACTATTCATCTGCTATAGCCTATGGATGGCAGAGTAAGCCCTATAGCATGAGCTTGTTCAGCTTTATTTGTGCTACTGTAAAAGTCTTTGGAATGCAGGTAGGATTTAGTTTTACAAAAATGGAAAATAGCTAATAACTGAAAGCTAGAGTCAACCCCATCAGACATGGGCAAGTCCAGCCAAAGCCAGCCCTCTCAGATTTCCACAGGGGCTTATAACTGTTCAGTATAGTTCCGATAGATTTAAAAGGCTGGTGTCTTGGCACACTGATATATACACCCAGAATTCACCAGAGCCACCTATATCTGGTCGTTGTCTCCTTTCATTTTCTTGAGCTTAGGAGGCATTTTCACATCTGGACCATATGCAAGGGGCTGGCAGCACTGAAGACTGCTCCTGAAGATACTGAACTTAGCTCCTTGCCATTGCATCTCAGTGTTCAATATTTTCTGGTGCCAAGCTGAATGATTCTCCTGCAATTTCCTGTAAACCTGGTCTTAATTGCTCTAGTTATTGATTTTTTTAAAATGCTCTCTGGTAAATTTATGTTAGGTGGATGCATTTTTTACACATCTTGCTGATTCAGACATACAGTATTAGCAGCCCCTCTTCTGGCTCAATACAGTCTGTATTGATTTTCAAACCGAATCAGGCACTATTAATTACTCGTTTCTGCTTCAAACAACATCCCACTGAAAGCTTAGTTATCTGTTGAGTGTGGGAGATCTAAGAAAGCGTGCATTCGGCCATACTGAACACTGTAAATCCAGCAAAGACCGTACTACATTATATTCTGTTGCTGACTATAAACAGGTGTTGTCAAATTGAATGGAAAAGGTCAGAAACACTACTGCCTTACAGTAGATGGTATGGACTTAACTGTGTAATCACACAGGGAAGCTTCCTGTTTCACAGAGTTTAGTCTAACTGATTCAACAGGTCGACAAGCACACTGCTGCCATGACAGGGAAGCACCACACAACAAAGGGAAGCCAAACAGAATAATGCAAAGATTTCCCCAGCCCTGCATCCCAAGAGACTGTGTTAGGAGGGGATACCCAGATGAACTGTGTGACTAAACTGCACGCTCACATTTGCCTCTGAGGTTTCCTGGGTGCCGCCATGTCACTGTCTCAGCATGAGCATGGAGCCTGTGTTGTGGCTGCCTGCTCCAACATCACTCACCAGGTTCTAGCCTAGAAAATGATACTGTGCCTTGGGTCTGCCCCAGAGACTGATCTGCCTGGCCAGGAGCTCAGGAAGAGCAGTGTAGAAAGGCTGCCTCAGAGCCCACCACAGCTCCTTGAACAGAAGTGTTTTGGATGAGACAGGTCCAACAAATCAACATTTTCACTGGATTTCATGGGGATATTTCCAGCCACATTTAGTAACAGACCCTTGAGCTCAGAAACCTTCATGTGCTATTGCAGTTTCTTCAATTTCCTTCCAGGCTTCTCTAGGTCCAGAAGGCAACTCACTTGCTGATGAAGCTCTCCCAGCTGTGAATAGCCAAGTGCCCATGAGCAGGTCAGAAGAACCAGCTGTAATTATTTCTTACCTGTATCCATATTCTCACTCTGGGGAAATGAACTACTATCAGTGAAAAAACAAGTAATCAGAACTGTTGAACTGTGTGTTTTTCTGGTTGAGCTTTTCCTTTTTCTTCTCCTTTAAAAAGAAAGTCAATTAAAAGATAAAGGTTTAGGAAAAAAGTTAAGATTTCCACTAAACTTTTCTGCAAGGCTCTTCAGGGTCAGAACCTGCAGGGGACAGGTACAGTTTGACTGTCCTAGTCTTAGTGTCCTAGTCTCCACGCCTCAGCTATCTGAGGCTCCACTTGACTCCAGAACTATTGTTCAGCGCCTTGCTTGGTATTTGCTATAGAAGAGACACAGGCATTGCTCTTGTAACTGTACAAAGTTCACAAATCAGGCAAAG